TCAATTTCATTCCCTTCAATACACACAGTTTCCATTGTTTTGCACTTCCCTATTTGTGACCCTAGACTATTATAATACGATACTCTCATCAACCATAGATGGCAGCATCGCTATCTATGTGCGCTATCTATGTGTGAAGCTGTTTAATACAAAAAAATGAAGTATTTCCCGTCTCACATGATAGGTGAAACAACCAGGTAAGCTAATTAAACCTAATTCCACGACTCATTTGATAAAACACAACTCAACCACAGCCTAACTCCAATGTCCATTACCTATCCAAAATCGTGGCTTCAATGTCCAGTTTATCTTCTTATTTACGGTTTTAAAACCATGCTCGTTGTAAATGGTTAAGAATCCGTAAAGGATTTACATTCATGATTTTTTAACCCTACTAGTAGTAAACGGTTTCAAAACCGTAATGGTAAAAAATGTTCTCTATTTTGTTTAATTGGATGGAAATACAGCTGTCGGTTATTTTACCGTAATTTCAGAGTGAAAATTCTAACAGTGAATTTACAATTACATTGTACGTTTTTTCACACGCTTTATTAATTTCAAGTATCTATTTCTTTAAAAAATTTTAGGCAATAAAACAAAATGTAATGTTAATTTGAACACCCGAAATATCTTCACAGGTGGCTTTTACGATTTTTTAATATAGAGAGGTGCAAGTTGTATGCATCATACCGTTAATCTTGATTGGCCTCAAGGAAAAAAAAATGAATTACTGTAGAATTGAATTGGCTGTTCTGAAATTAACAGCAGTTTTCCCCAAATATTTAACCTCTATTCACAAATATTTACAGCAAATACTTTTAAAAAAGAAAGAAAGGAATTTGACTAAAGAGAGTTCTGAGATGATTATTCTGAAATAAACAACAGCTTTTTCCGAAAATTGTGTACCAAACACACAATCCATATTCATAAATCTTAACTGCACATACATTTTAAAATAAATAATAAAAATTCTAATTGGAATCTTTGTGATTTATTCAGTAGCTTCATTTAATTACATTTATAAGCACTCTTACTTAAGGCAACGTTATTTTTTTTTCAAAACAATAAATCCTAGATTCGAACAGTAAACACACAAATCAATAAATCCATTATTTCAGAAATCCCAAGAGAAACATTGATAAAAATTTAATTCTCTTTATTTCTATCATTAATTTCTACTTGCAACGCAAACACTCAATATAATTGGTCGTTAATACTTTATTTAACAGAAATAAAGCCTCGTTGGTGATTATAAATTTAAAAATTTACTCATTGTAGCTTTTTTTCGCCACGCCTAAACTTAATTTTCGAAAAAGCGTGTTTTAATAAATTCATTATGCTAATCTAATTATTTTTTGCACCCAAACATAGTTTCTTTCCTGAATTCGAAATAAAACATCAAATTAATCTTTCTTTCACTGAGCTTATCCAAAATATTAATAATTCTAGTTGTAAGATGAAAAACTCTGTTTATTGTAGAAATTTTAATTTTTTTACGTTAATTAAAATATCCAATGTTGACTAATATTTGAATATTTGGCTTTTATTTGAATACAGTGTTGATGCAGTAGTAATATTTTAATAAGTTCAAATTTTTAATATCTATATTATACAAAACGCTAATACGTATGTATCAATAAAACCGATGATATTTCTTTTCTCGCGTTGGCAACAGTTTTCATTTTTAATTGATTGGCTTCGGCGCGCAAGAGCACGTAGTGAGCATATCATATGTCTAATCAAAAAAATTCTCACAAAATTATCTTCATCGAAGCCGATGCTTTACATCCGGCGTTCAGTACTATTTCATGTTGTTTTACAACACATGGTTTTAGCCCTCTGGTGGGAAAGACTTTAAAACAAAACTTACAAAAGTTACTTTTCTCAGCAACTGAAATATTTAGAATAGTGTGATTAAGAAAAATATGTGAACTGTTTGCATTTTCAAATTAATATTGAAATGCACAGGTTTAGAATTTTCTACAGTGAAAAGTTTTCGGAACTTCAGTGTTCAAAAAAGTATACAAAAGCTAAGCGTTAAGAACGTATCCAATGAGCGAGCAAAGTGAGCATCGGATTGCGAAGCAATCCGAAATGAACTGCGAAAGCAGTTCCGGGGGTTTGGCGAGCGTCAGCGAGCAGGGGGCGAAGCCTCCTAGTAATTTATATAAAACATAATAAAAGTAACACTTTGTGGTCTAATTGTCTGTTATTCTGCTTATTTTCTTAAAAAAAGAGACATTTACGCATTTTTTAAATATAGTTAAATATATTATTTTCTGTAACTCTCTATCAATATTTTGCGCAAAGTTTGTTCACTTTTTCTTACAGAAATTGCAATTTTTTTCCGTCCAAAAATGAGTTAAAGATATTTCTCCTCAAAATGAAGTTATTTAAAATAGTTTTGCAGAGAATAGAACACACATTCAAAAAATCAGAATTCATAAGGTTATGCAAAGTACGGAGGGTTTTTATTTTTAGCATTTTCACTTTTAGCAGTGTTTGTCCATGCTTTCATTCTTTTTAATTTTTCTCCTGCAGGAAAGTGTGGACTCACTATACCAGTGTTCCCCAACCCTTTGATCGCCACACACCGGTCAACGTCTGATAATTTTATCGCAGACCACTGGGGTGGACGTTGATTGTTTATATTTTAGACAAATTTTATATTTAATAGTTTAATTTAATTGCATTTAAACATGCCGTTAAAACAAATTACAGTTACATGCTCGGAGCTGTGATGGCTCAGGGGATAGAGAGTTCGCCTTCCAATAAGATGAACCGTGTTCGAATACCAGTGATTGCTGGTCGATACGAATTCCGTATCCGGCTTGCACTGACCACAGTGCTGACATAAAATATCCTCAGTAGTAGACGGATCGTGGGATCGAGTCCCCTTGCCGGTAGGATAACCATGGAAGGTTTTCGTGGTTTTCCTCTGCATGTAAAGCAAATAAAGGATACTTTCATCAAAAAATCCTCCACTAAGGCTAATTTCTCCCAATACTTGAGCTAGGAATTCACTTGTCTTCTGGATTGATTTCAAATCACAAGGCTACGGAGCTGAACAATAGAAGACGTAAACGCAAAATTTGGTCGGCTGTTCAACGACGATTATAAAATAAAAATAATACTGTAAGGAGGCTAATACTGTAAGGAGGCTAATACTGTAAGGAGGAAAAGCAAATATTAACCTAATACCAAGTTTATGTATGATTGTAATATGGTTAGATGTAATCAGTTATATATTTATTTAATGATTGATTATTATACACAATTTTATTCTGTACATATCTGGATAAAAAGAATTAATTTAATCAATTTATGGTCCATCTAACATAAAGGCTTAAGGTTACTCATTATTAACTTAAAATGGCTGTTTTTTAAACTTCTCAGCTAATAAGTCATTTTCCTGGCATTCAAGATTTGGTGAATTTCTATTTAATATTTTTTTCTAGAGCAAATGTCAATAAATTACACTGCTGTCTGTAAGATATTAATAAATGTAACTAAAGAAGTATTCAAAAAAAATTTAGATTATTTTGAAGACTTTAAATTTGAAGAAATTTTTTGGTCCGAATTGTCATGTTTTAAAAGAATCACCCATATAGATATTTTTTTTTTCGGAACTAGAAAGTTTTTAAAGGTAGCGGGAGTAAAGAGAATATGACTAACGTTATTTGAACTTTCTTTGAAAAATTTTGTAATTAAATGCTCAGATGTTAAATATCAAATAAGTATACTAGGGTAAGGACTACAAGTTGAATAAATCTACACATTCAAAATTGTTATTGTCTAAAAGAGAAAACTTCAATCTTCTCTTTATAATAACGGAAAGGATTCAATAGCACCATATCAACAGATCTTTGATCACGATATTGCAAATATGCTACAGGGATAGGATGGAGCCTTTTAAATGTTTGGTTTTGAATGTTTGTTAATTACAGGCCTGATAAGTAAAAACTTCTTCGCACGCAGGTTTTTGTTTATATTCAGAGCAAATGACTTTTTTGAGGAAAATGTTTACATCTTGACTATAAGCTCGGTTAACAGTTAACTTGGCTATATCACAAAATGAAAATTTGACTAACTGACCACAGTTGTTATCTATGCAATTTTCTAGGATGAGAATCGAATATTCTATTTCTGAACTTGCTTCAAGAAGTGTAAATAAAAGTCACGTCAATATACAAGTTGGAAGTTTTTTTAAAACATAATTAAAAGAAATATTTAAAAAAAAAATAAAGTTACAGATAGAGCAATGTAGTGCCAGGACGAAAACGCTCTCATCCGTGCTTTCTAAATTTATTTTTTCTTCAAAAGAGAAATTAGTTCTTTTTCAATTTTAAAGCTATAGGCACAGTATGGTAAAAAAAACACCACTTAAGAGCTAATGTTTTTTTTCTGGCACAAGAAATTGTATGAAGATAGATAACCTCACCACGATCAGCCAGCTAAGAACGAGAGCAATCAAAGAATATATATAGAAATGGTACAAAAGTTCACGAAGAAAAATTGTTACTCAAATGCATTTCTTTTTCCCGAAATTTCGAAAATTCTTTTTAACCTTACTTTCCCCTCCAAATCTTAACAATAATCGATATGCATATCCCCTCCATTCATAATGTCACTCACACTATGGAAATAAAATGGAATTGGGATCATTTTTCACTTCTCCAATCATCTAGGGCAATCTGAAAATAATTCCATATAAATTCTATGCTCCCCCTGAAAGATTTAAATACGTCAATCCCTCTCATATTTTTCGAAACTTTAAAATTAGAGAATTTATGGTGACTTGAACTTAGTGATCAGGTTTATAAGAATATGAATTTCTGCGAAATAACTAAAAATAAATTCGACGAAAATAATGTAAAAAAAAATAATGAAAGTAACTTCTCAAAATATTTTACATCATACATAAAATTAAAAACAACTGTAGGGATGTGTAAAAATATAAAGATTCTTTAAAATTTTAGTCCATTTTGAAACCTTTTCCTTAAAAAGTATTTTGCATTGCCAAGTAAACTAACTAAATTTAATTTTATTCTTCTTCGTGTTTATAACTTAGTAACTTTTTCAGCAGTTACTTTAGGGTTTTCCTTGCGTATTTTCTCTGCTCCCATAGACTTATAGTCAAATGTACAACCATGTTCTCTGTCATATCTGTGTTTGGCACAAAACAGTCCACCACAGCGACAGGTTATTGCTGTCAAATCTAGCTTCTTCTTACAAACGCGACATTGTCGTTTTTTGTTTCTCGCAACATCAGATCTTATTTTTCTTCTGTTGTTGGTGTCCACAGAATTGTCAAGCCTGTTCCATTCTTGCTTACTTGTTGATGGCATTGGTGAAGGATCCGGCGTTTGAATATTGTCTGATAAGACAACTGGTGTATATGTTTCTTTCGATGAATTGGAATGCTTTTGAGTTTCTTGTTCTTTCTTAGCAGCTAACCCCATTAATTCTGGCTCACTCGATTCTGATATATTGCAAGTACTAGAGGTATTGTTTATTACTGGATTTCTTTCGTTCTCGGCGAGGAGGTTTGGATGTTCTGAAACACTTCTGGAGCATTCTATATTGTCCTCAACATCCGCTAGATTACCGCTTGAACAGCAGCAAACAGATCCATCAGGTGATACGTAACCCATTGCGTGATTATGAACAATTATTTCTAAACTCATTTGACTATCTGGTTCATCGAACTCAGAGCCGTTTGAGCTTGAGTCAGGCGAAATAAAGTTAGCTTCCTTTTCAAAAACGTTGTCACATTCAGCTTGGTTTGAAAAGTTTCTTGATTCTGTGGCCTTCGGCTCAGTCTCCTTGTGGCTTGAATGTTCAATGCTGTCACTGCTTCCTGGCAAGTCTAAACATGGCTGCGCTTCACAATCTTCATCCGGAAACTCATAAATAATCTTTACGTTATCAAGACTTTCTGATGGCGTACCTTCACTGTCATCTTGAGGGCTGCGATAGAATGAAGTATCTTTAATATAGATTGAAGTATCTCAAATATTAAAACTTAGTCGATGTATATTTAGCCTTGTGTCTGATCGCTTAATGTATTAAGCTATGACAATTTGTTTCAAAATATGTAATCACTTACTAAATACCTTACTTACTAAATACCTTACTTATTGAATCATATTGATTTTATTCTCGACCATGTTTCATGATCTCAACGATAAGGGACAGTATTTGCAGAAGTTGTATCAACTTCCGATAAGGGATTCGCTTATATTGATTTCTATTTTTTATATCATTTTTCGACTTATTTTTTAATATAATTATTTGTTTTCGATGTCGAAATATTCGTTTGCAAAATGGAGGCTTTTGGCTGCACTATGAGAAGTAAGTAACTTGCACTGGAAGAAGTAACTTGCATTCTGAAATTAAGATGTTTAAACTTGAACTCCCTGAGGATCCATCACGCATAATTCAATGGAATAATGTATTAAAGAGGTAAGACTGGAGAGAAAAAATAGTTGCGTTCTGGTATCGCGTCAGAGGAAAACAGCAAGACTTCCTGTAGGGTTTGTTTGTTTCTTAGGATAGATGAAGAATACTCTCTGGTTGAAATAGCTTCTTTCATTAAGAAACAATTGATTTTGAATCATAAAAAGTATATTTTATAGAAGCACTAAAAATGGTTGACGAAATATTGCTGATCATTCAAATCACACAAATGAATTACAATAAGTTAGCTGCAGCTACAGCAAGTGCGTGTCGTAAAAATGAGAACAATTTAGATGTTTCTCTTTAAATAGCTTTTTTTGGATCTGCTAGCTTACAGCAAATATATAGGTCCACAGCAATCATATTAAATATTATATGAGATTTAAAGAAAGATTTTTCTTTTCATTTAAATCTTTCGAGAAAATTCAGTTATTTTAATCGAAGAAATGCTGTAAATCATTGCGGGATTTCTGCAATCCTGTAGTGGGACTTATTGCATTCCTAAATATATTATTGCTCAAATGTGTAAAGGAAAAAAAAGGGTTTCAAACACAATACGCGCAGAACCTTATCTATGATCTGAGGAACTGGTATACATATCATATTACTCATCTTTTTTTGTATCCACTTATACTATATGACTATACTACAATTATTTTTGAACCCGTTTTTTCACAATATATGGGCTAATAACAGTGCCAACATTTAAAAAGACCATACTTTTAAACGCACTTATTTTTGAATGATTTAAATCTCATCACTTGTTTAATATAAATTAATAAAAAACAATTTTAAACAATCATACAAATCACAATTAACTGCAGTTAAAATCTCATTCCATCCAAATCAATCCTGAGAGATTTTCATAAAGAGAAATTAAATGTGAAATCACCTCATATTTTATTTAAAAGCTTCTGTGTCACTTAATTAAAAGTAATTTTAACTTACTTAAAAGTTAAGTGCAAAATTAAAACATGGAAAGCGCACGTCAACATATAATTAAAACATAAGATTTCGCGTCGTAATTCCATGACATGAATGACATATGGAGTAATTAACTTAAAAGAACAGTTCACCTTAAGTCAAAAATTAAAAATTCATTAAATGATACAATTACTGTAAAAAAGAGTTTTTCAAAATTGAGCAAAAATCAAGAGATCTTTGAATTTAATAATAGTCGAATTCGGAAACTCCATGTATTCAAAAGTGATATTTATTTTCGAGAAAAATGCATAGTCTCAGAAAAGAAGTGGAGGAAGAAATGTGTGAAAAAGATGTTCGTTGACTGCTGGCAGGATTCGAGCCAAGGACCTCCGGGTTTGCAGTAGGACGCTCTAACAACCATAGTTGAACAAATCAGGCCAGGAAAAGTTAGGAAGCTTTATATATTCCATCCGCTTAAAGGCTTTTAAAATATAACGAAATAAGCAAAGAGTGAAGTTAAAATTACCGATCTCTTGATCTATCGCTAGCTTAGAGCTATTGGGACCATATTTTCCAATTTGCAACCCTTTATACCATTGAAATTGTAAATTAGTATGACATAAAGTGACATTGCGGCTTCCAGTATATAAATCTTCCTAACTCTCCCGGGACTGGGTTGTACTATAATAGTGGTTATAGCATCCTACTATGAACCTGAAGGTCTTTGGTTATAATCTTGCCAGCAGCCAACGACAGCAGTCTCTCTCTCACACATTTCTAAATTCCTATAACTTTCGAGACTAAGAATTTTGCTCAAAAATAAATATATGCTGCTTCAATTTTGAAAAAAAAGGATTGTCAAATTCGATTATTATTTGTTTCGGATCTATTTCAACACATTTTTCATCAATTTTTAGAAATCCTTTTTACAATGATCAATCCTTTACGATCAATGCATTTGTTTCAATAATTATTTTGATTTGTTTTGTGTAATCGTCATCTTCAAGGAGAAAAATTTCGCACTATAAAATATTTATTTAAGACTTTGTGCGACGAAGTAAATGACGCGCAAAATTAGGTAGGATTTTTTTTTAAACAACTTTTCTTTAAATCCCACCTTGGCCATAGAGTTCGACATTTTTTTTTCAAAAATTAAAATGTCTTACCCGAGGGAACAAACTTTGATATTCATTAAATGCTTAAAAAAAACAATGATTTCATGGTTCAGTCACTTTCAAAAGATTTTAATTTTGGCTTTAGAAATTTTACGTTTCTTTACGGAAGATATTTGCATAAAAATGGTGACTATGCAGGCATTAATTAGCATTCACTATTTTAAGTAGCACTAGTTCGCAACTCGCCATTGCTATAAAATATAATATTACGTTTTATAATGAAATATTTTTTATCATTTTTTTTATTAAAAAACCTTGTATATTTATACAAAAAAATTGTTTTTCCTTCCTATTTTTTAGAGCTTTTTTGCACAATAACTTTCTCCCTAAATGGCTTTATTTTCTATTTTTATGCAAGTAGATTCTATAAAATTATCATAGGTTAAAAATTTAACAACGAAGAAAAACAACTCATAAAAGTATTAATTGAACCCATGTATGTTGTTACTATACTTTATTCAAAATAAAATTTCTTGTTTTTTAAATGCTAATATTAGAAAGACAAAAGTTTCCTTGACGATTTTGTAATTCATTAATTTTCTGTTGTAATTTCTAAATTCAAAATAGTGTTGTAATTTAGCATTTTTAAAAAAAAATTGGATATTGTTTCATTATTAAAGAAATTTTATTTCATATTCTATTGTGATTGATATCCTTCTTTAATTATGTTAATCTTATTTAATTCTATTACAATACAAAGAAAATACTACTTGGAAATTTTAGCTACTCACGGATAAATGCAGTGTTTATAAAATTTGATTTTAAAATGAATAAATATTTAAATATGCTTTTTAATCATATTTTTCTATGAAAACTAAGTTTAGCCAAAAATATATGTTTTTAAAACTGCTTTTATTATGAAAACGTGATTGAAAAAAAAAGCTTATTTTCAAACCTTTTTTTACATTGAAATCTTACTATCCAAAATACACACGATGTAAGAAATAAAATAACACGAATATATTTTATTTAATATCTAATTTAATAAGAAATTTTATATTATAGTTAATAAATGAACAGTTTTCTAAAGCAAAAATAAAAGTTTGAGTCTACGCTGAAACAGTGCTTGATAAAATTACTAATGAATGTATAAATTTTATATTGACACCTTAAAACAAACCACGATAACGATTTTGAATTTTGACGCGATAAAGCGAAGGCATAGTGATTAAATACATTGGTACAGTTTTCAAAACCTTTAGAAAATTTCCGAAAACCTGCATGATGTATATTAAAAAAAATTTTATGAGTTGTAGAAATAATTATCAGCAGCTTACATTTTATAAATAATTATATATAATCTCAATTTTATTAATAGAAACTGATTATCTCTTCGTCGCAAATGAGACACCGGTGCCCCTTATATATATTTTTTTCTGAAGCTCTAATTACAAACAAAAGTAAATTTTAGTATTTTTTAATTAAAAAAATCACTTTAATAGTTACTAAAAAATCTGTTGGATTATCGGAATTATGTTTGTACTAAAATATAAAATTCATCGAAAAATAGTTGGAAAAAAATAATTTTTCGTTCTTATTCAAAAATTTATGAATAATTGATTTTGTAAATAAAAGAAATTTCAATGATGATTAAGTGTATCTAAATAAGTGCAAGTGAAATATGAAAAATTATTGATTGTAAGTGAGTCACAATCGGTAGATTTTTCCTTTAACGCAAAAAAAACGTGTTTCATTCTGTATTTCCTAATCAAAAATTATTAAAACACTAAATACAACATTTTTCTAGTATTTTGACCTAGATAATATAAAATTATGAAAAAAGCATAAAAAATATGTTTAATTGAAATTCTGCGTGAAAGGGAGTTATATAGTATCATAGAAATATCAATGAAACATTGGAAATTAATGGAAATTTGCCCTAAATATTTCAGTTCGAAATTTCTGTAACCATAACTACATATTTTGAGCTACTCGCTGAAATATTTATGGTAGTATTATGCAGTTGAAATCGATATAACATTAGAAATATATTTTAAAACAAAACATTAATATACTTATTAATCTGAGATATCAGACTCTTTTCAAAGTACCCTAAATGCTCTTATTTCATGATTAATTATAAATATTTAGAAAATAATAAAACAATTTAGTTAAATGAGCCTTAAACTGCATACATTAATTTGTTGCACTTTTTGAAATACTTAAAACTTCAGTATAAAAGTATTTGATGTATACAAAACTTTTCATATGCCTAATAATATTATAAATAATAACGAATAATTCTACGAAACGGAATATTTTTGCAATTGAATAATAAATAATTAGTTTCTGAAGCCATTTTTATTATATCATTTAATTAATTTAAACTCAGAGTAGCAATAGGTGGTAAAGAGATGTTGAATTTCGTTGCTTTCAAGAAAAATCCATGCAAATAATATATCACTATTTAATGTTATTTCACTATTTACTATTATCACGCATATCACTATTTACTATTTAATGTATCACTATTAATTACAGTGAAAAATCATTATTAATTACAGTGGAAAAAAAAACTTTCAAGACAAACC